TGAGCACTATTTGTTTTTTGTTTTATTCCGTTGTTGTTTTTTTCTTTTACTTTTATCTCAAGCTTTTATCCAGAGGTTTTCAAAGCTTTCAGTTCTTGCGGAATTATTATCTCTGATGTAATCATAAGGCAGGCAATCGGCAATTTCATTATAGAACGGCACGTGGTGTATATCACTCAATATAGTTTAAAAAATTTTGACCTGACAAATAAATTACTTAAACCCTTTCCTGTTGCCTTATATCAGGAAATGCATCGGTGGATTGCATTGAATGCCTATTTGGCTCCCGACATCCAACACTGACTTAATTTGACGGACTCCTCTAAATGTCTGAAATGTGGGGAAAAGGTGGTTGAATAAGTCGATAGTTTTTGGGGCCGTTCTCTGAAAAAGTAATTGTGGATAAAAAACCAAAACTTATTTAATCTATTTTACATTTGCCAGTGCCGCTGTTCATTTTCTGCATTTTTTCGGGTTATACTAATGAAACATAGAATGTAAAGGCAGATACCGTATTTTCCGCTCCATAAGACGCACCACACCATAAGACGCACCTAGTTTTTAGAGGAGGAAACCCAGAAAAAAAATATTCTAGACAAACTGTCCCATAGTGTTTCTTACTATGGGAAAGTTTGTTCAGAATATTTTTTTTCTCCCCTGTGTTCCTTACCACCCACTCCCCTCTCCTGTCCCATAATGATCTTTAACCCCCCTCCCCTGTCCCATAGTGATCTTTAACCCTCCCTTCCTCTGTCCCATAGTGATTTTTAACCCCTCCTCCCCTGTCCCGTAGTGTTCTTTAACCCCCATCTCCTTGTCCAAGTGTTCTTTAACCCCCTCCTCCCCTTGTCCAATAGTGTTCTCCCCCTCCCCTTGTCCAATAGTGTTCTCATCCCATAGTGTTCCCCCCTCCCCTCATCCCATAGTGTTCTCCCCCCCCCCATTGTCCAGTAGTGTTCTCCCTCCCCCTCTCCCCATGTCCCATAGTGTTACTTACCTGTATTGTAGTGTGGGCGGGCAGAACAGTGCGCACCGCGGTACAGGAACTTAAATTTCAGTTTCCGGTACCCAACCGGACTGAAAGGAAGTGTGCACACTGAGTGTGCATTTCCTTTCATTCCGTCCGGAAACCGGAAACTGAAATTTAAGTTCCTGTACTGCGGTGTGCGCTGTTCTGTCGGCCCACGCTACAATACAGGTAAGTAAACTTACACATTCGCTCTATAAGACGCACAGACATTTACCCTTACTTTTGAAGGGAAAAAAAGATGCATCTTATAGAGTGAAAAATACAGTAATTTCTATAAAATATGTATTTTATAATAAACAGAGGCTTTCATAGGACAAACTAAACTATTTACTGTAATTACTGTAACCAGAATGTAATATATGTAACATGAATGATCTGATAGTCACTATACGTTGTACAATAATGATTGATAGATAACGATGATAGGGTAGCCGATGGACTGAAAGTAAGAGGAAAGCTGAAGAGGAATAAGATAAGTGACAAAATGGGCTGATAGATGAAACGGGAGAAAAGGACAAAATTGTTACAACTGTATTTTAAATTTTTTTATTTTTTAATTGCAGGGACCCATTCCTTTTCTCTAAGGTGAAGCCTACATTACGTCCAAAACAATATAAAACAACTAAAAAGGTTACAAATGTCCAAGAAAAATAAGTAGACAAAAAATAACTGGAAAATGAAAAAAAGTATTCTGCAGAGCATTGTAAACAATATTATTCTACAACCTGAACCTGTCACATGTCTAGAGGATATTCCCTGTCACTTGCTGGAGGCTAGATTTCTAGAGCCTACAGCGGTTATCACACATTTAGAAGACAATACTTCTCTAGAATGCCCTGCTTCTACTATCAAACCTCATACAAGTGGATTGACAGAGGAGTTGCCGATAAACCTTGGTCAGCCACAGTCTACTTTAGGTTGTACACCTGAGCCTGCAAATCTAGATTCTCAGAACCCAGTTACAGCTCTTTTACTGAAGCCTATCTCTCTAGAGCCTACAGAGGTTATCACACATCTAGAAGACAACAATTCTCTAGAATGCCCTGTTTCTACTATCGAACCTTATACAAGTGGGTTGACAGAGGAGTTGCCCATAAACCTTGGTCAGCCACAGTCCACTTTGGGTTGTCAACCTGACCCTATGAATCTAGATTATCGGGGGGGCTGTCACAGATCAAGATCAAGATCCAGGCATTCTTCTAGTGGGCCCAGTTTGTCTTGCCAAATCAGGCACTGGTGAAATGTTAGAGGAAATGTTAGAGGAGCTGTCAGTAAGCTCTGACACTGTAATTTATCACTCTGAGACTTCTTTGGATTGCCCCACTGTACAGCCAGAGGAGTTGCTTCTAATCAATCAAGAGGGCACCCCTGAGCAGGAACAAACTGAGATAAAGAATAATCAGCCAGGAACACATGTGTGTCTGAGCAGCCATTGTCAGAAGACAAAGAAAAAGAACCACCTGGTGAGGCTGATATAGTTCAAAAGAAAAGCCAAGACCTTCCAGCACCTGTACTCCAAGAGAAGACAAATATTAAAACAAAGGTAGAAAGGATACGCTATGACAGGGATTCTTTACTCAAATTCAAATCTTTAACACAAGAGCCAAAGGACTCTGAAATTGCTAAACTCTACCAAGGTATGCTCATTAGACCTCACCTTCGACCAGTGAATCCATCACGATTGACCAGCAGGATACAGACTGCCACGTGGAATGGGTCAAATGAGGTCTCAGCAAGTTCCTGGTAAAGAACTTAGCAAAATCCTTCATGTAACTGAGAATGTAAAACAGCATACCTCTGAAAAGGCTTCGAAACCACCCATGAAAAGGACAAACGAAGATCCCAATAGTGTAAAGGCTGAAGAATTGGTTCGGAAAGTTCGCTTTCTGAATAAAATCACACCTCAGACATTCCAGCACTTAGTTAAACAGGTGAAAGACCTCTCTATAGACATAGAGTATCAATTGAAATGTGTTGTAGAAGTCATATTTGAAAAAGCAATAACAGAGACACATTTCGCAGTTGTATACGCCAACATGTGCAACTGGCTAATAATGCTTGAGGTCCCAACTCAATGCTTGGTGAATGTTTCCATTTCAGCTTTTTGGCCTCATATGTGAATTTTACTTTGAATTCCCAGTAATTCTCACTTTAGTTTTAGTGCATAACTCTGAAAGGATCCATACTTACTAGCTGGCTGAGAACCATCTGTGTTTTATGAAATTACTATCACAGCAAGTTGCCCCATGTGTAGTTGGAGAAACAATTAAAATCATAAATGTTTAAGGTGAAATCCCCTTTAATTATGTACAAAGCCGTTATTGTACTTTCATAAAAAACTATCAGAAAACAATTATGTTACACATTGCTACTCCAAATAAATGTGGAGTAAAACTAGTGCATCCTTAAGATGCTATTAGCACTTTTAGCTATTTGTCCTGGCTTTAAACTGTAAATCGCATTGTAAGAATCAAACAGTGATACTGCTAATGACTATATTTGGCAGCATAGTGGCAATCGTATCTTTCAGGTACCACATTCACCTGCTATATTTTTTATTTTGAATTGACGTGTCTATGATTTCAATCAGTTTTTGAAAGTTATATTGCAAGGAGTGAATTATAATTTTTAATCTAAATATTTGCAAAACGTTACATGAGTGAACTATACGTTTAACAGCAATCACCAAATTCAATATTGCTAGACAAAGTAAATAAATGTAAAAGTTAGAACAACCCATCAGGGGATTTAACTAAGAGCATTTTGATACTTTTCATTCAACCATTGTATCAATAATCTCTGCCAGAACTGAGTGTTATATAGCTAACACTTTGTGCTTTCCACAGAGATATTTCAATTCAAGGTGATTTTCACAGACCTACTGTGTAGCAGTACAATAAATACTGCAGATTGTTATTTATGGGAGGTTATAGGGTTATATTAGAGCCATGTCATATTCAGTGTTGCAATTTTGACAATTTGTTTTATTGGACCTACGTTCTTTTTTTTTTAAAGAAAAAATTGCATTCCCAAACAGTACTTTATTCCCATTGTGGCATTTTCTTTGCAAAATAAGACAAACTGAGCGATTTCATCTGAGTCTTTTTCAAGGATTTTTATTTCATCACCAATTTCTTTTTATTGAATTTTTTTTATTTGTAACATCCCTATATCAGCCCATAACCACCCATTGCAGTTCCTATTTGCCACTACAGCCCTAATGCCCCTAACCCTCCACTTCAGCCCCTCACCCCCAATTGCAACCCAAAGCTGCCCAGCATAGCCAAAAACTACCTACTACAGCCATTTAACCACAGAGCAGCCCCTATTCCTCCACCACAGCCCCCAACTTCCTTACAACCAGGGCCGGCTGGGCCACGAGATATCGGGAAATTTCCCGGTGGGCCGTCGGCACCTGGGGCCGGGCACGCAGCTGGCTGACCTGCGGCCGCAGAGGGAGCTCTTTTGGCGGCCGCAGGTGGAGCTGGCTGCTCTGTCTCTGCTTCCCCTCCCCAGCGCTGCTTAATGAGACCGGTGCGGGAATATGATGTCATATTCCGGCCCCGGTCTCATTAAGCGGTGCGCTGGGGCGGGGGAGCAGAGACAGAACAGCCAGCTCCCCCTGCGGCCGCCAAAAGAGCTCCCTCTGCAGCCGCCAGAAGAGCCAGCACCCCCATGCGGCCGCCATCAGAGCTCCCCATGCGGCTGCCAGCACACAGGTAGCAATTATGTGTCAGTGTGGATGTATGTGTGTGTGTGTCTGTGTCATTTGTGTGTGTGTCTGTCATGGTGTGTCTGTCTGTGTCAAGGTGTGTGTGTGTGTCTGTCTAATGGTGTGTGTGTGTGTCTGTCTGTGTCATGGTGTGTGTGTGTGTCTGTCTGTGTCATGGTGTGTGTGTCTGTGTCATTCTGTGTGTCTGTCTGTGTCATGGCATGTGTGTCTCTGACTGTGTCATGGTGTGTATGTCTGTCTGTGTCATGCAATGTGTGTCTGTCTGTGCACGGTGTGTGTCTGTGTCACGGTCTCTCTGTGTCATGGTGTGTGTGTGTCTGTGTGTCATGGTGTGTGTGTCTGTCTGTGTCATGCAATGTGTGTCTGTGTCATTGTGTGTGTGTCTGCTATGTAATGTGTTTCTGTCTGTGTCATGGTTTGTGTGTGTTTGTGTGTGTTTGTGTGTGTTTGTCATGGTGTGTGTGTGTGTCTGTATGACATGGTGTGTGTGTGTGTTTGTGTCTGTCTGTGTCATGTAATGTGTGTCTGTCTGTGTCACGGTGTGTGCCTGTGTCACAGTCTGTCTGTGTTATGGTGTGTGTGTGTCAAGGTGAATGTGTGTCTTTTTAAGGTGTGTTTGTTATGGTATGTGTGTGTGTCTGTCATGGTATGTGTGTGTCTCTGTCATGGTGTGTGTGTGTCTGTCTTTGTCATGGTGTGTCTGTCTGTCATGGTGTGTCTGTGTTTCTGTCTGTGTCATGGTGTGTGTGTGTTTCTGTCTGTGTCACGGTCTGTCTGTGTCATGGTGTGTGTCTGTCATGGTATGTGTGTGTGTATGTGTGTTTTTACTCACCTTTTTTTTTCCCCACGTCGTGCTGGTCTCCCCTCGACTGGCCCTGCCTCTACGGCTGAGATCATCAAGCTTGATGATCTCAGCCAATCCACACTGACACAGGAAGCACCTCTAGTGACTGTCTGAGTGTCTGTCACTAGGAAGCAATGTAAACACTACCTTTTCTCTAAAAAGTCAGCGTTTACATTGAAAAGCCTGCAGGGACAGGCTATAGACACCAGAGCCACTACATTAAGCTGTGTGTGCGTGCGCACCTGCTAGTGAGTGGGCTTGCTTGTGTGTGTGTGTGCCTGCTACTAAGTGAGCTTGTGTTTTTATGTCAATGACCTTATGTATATCAGTGAGATTGTTTGTCTATGAGGCCGTGTATCAATCAGCTTGTGTCAGTGAGATTGTATGCTTACTGTATAATTAAACATTTTACTCTGAAAGGACCAATATTTTATATTGGAAAAAGCAATATATATATATATATATATATATATATATATATATCATCTAGGGTGGCAAGACATAGCCTTACATATTACATGCGACAACATATGGGCAATGAATTATGGGGCTGGCATAGATTTTTTTTTCCAGGGCTGCTTTGGAATCCAAAGTCCAGCTCTGCCTACAACAGTCTCTTATTCTCACTAGAGCCCATATCCCCCAATATTTTACCTAACTTCCAAGTGTAGCTCCTATCCACAACTATAATCCCTACCAAATGCAGACTGTATCCCCCACTACAGCCCCAAACTCCACTGCAGCCCTTATAATCAAACAGCAGTTCCTATCCTTACAACAGCCTCCAACCCCACTACTACAGTCTCTTACACCCACTGCAGCCCCTATCTCACACTACAGCCCTACCGCTAAATGTAGACCCTAGAGCCCCTATAATCCAATTCCAGCCCATATCCTCCACACTACCTGCACTATCCCTCACACTGCACCCCTATCCTCCACTTTTAGCCCTTATCCCCTACTACAACCGCCATTCCCTTACTACAGTCCCTAAATCCACTTACAGTCCCTCCCCTCTACAAACCCTCTCCTCCAATTGCAGCCCATACCTCCCACACTACAGCCCCTTTCTGGCCATTCTAAGGCCCGGTAAGACGTTACCTTTTAGTCCTAGGTGTGAAACAGTTCTACGTGCTGGATCAACTAGTAAACCTGACAATAACCACCCTTACCTGGGGGTTTCAAAAATATTCTTGCACCAAGGCATCAGTGACCCTAGGATCGGCCATGATTTCAGCTAAACAATTGGCCAATATCTTTGGATAGATTTTTGTGTTATTTTCTAATAAAGGACCACTATAGTGCCAGGAAACCAAATTCATTTTCCTGGTTATATAGGGTCTTTAGGTCCCCCCACCCTCAGGGTCCCACTCCCGCCTGGCTGAAGGGTGGAAAGGGGTTAATCACTTACCTTTCTCCAGCACCGGGCTCCCTCGGTGCTGGGGAAATCACCTACCTCTTCTGATGTCAGCGCTGAATGCGCATGCGCAGCAAGAGCCGCGTGCGCATTCAGTGAGATCATAGGAAAGCATTACTCAATGCTTTCCTATGGACAGCAGCGTCTTCTCACTGTGATTTTCACAGTGAAAATCGCGGAAGCGCCTCTAGTGGCTGTCAATGAGACAGCCACTAGAGGCTGGATTAACCCTAATGTAAACATAGCAGTTTCTTTGAAACTGCTATGTTTACAGCTGCAGGGTTAACCCTAGATGGACCTGGCAACCAGACCACTTCATTGAGCTGAAGTGGTCTGGGTGCCTATAGTGGTCCTTTAATGAAATTTGTTCTATTTTTTTTTTTCTCAAAAAGGAAGCCCTGTGTAATACAGCTTCCTGGGCATTCCTGGGCATTCCATACTAAATCGTGTGATATATTTGGACCAGAGTTTTCTTTAGAACAATTTATTATAGAGTTTTCTGCAAGCTCTCTATTTTCTATGTTGGTGATTAAATGATGAGATTAAATGATGAGATGGAAATTTTGCAGGCCTCAGACGACTTTGTGGGACTCAGCTCTGCCACTGCCAGTAAAGGGTGTGGGCTGACAGCATGGTCACTTTTTCGGGGGATACTGTCTCTCCACCTAATGCAGGTCCCAATGGCTTTTCTCTATTGAAATGTATGCTTCTCAGTTAATATTATTTCATTTTTTTCCCCTTACCCTTTTAACTTTATTTTCTTATTTACTTTTCAAATTATTTTATTTTTAAACAGACCATTATATTGCCCTAGTACTATATACACTAGCTTAGCCCTGTTTTTGGTTAATGGACCACTCATAATATGCTCTGAAAATGCTCATGAATGTGCTCAACAGGCTACTAATAATGTTTGCACTTGTGTTTCTGTTTTCTACAGTGAATTCCTATGTGCATATTGTATTCTGAATTTGCCAATGGTTCTTCTTATTTATATTTTGTATTCCTTTTTATTTTTTTAAAAAAATTATCTTTATTTGATTTATAAAAGACTTAACATACATAGAAGGGAGTATGACAGTCCTCCCAAAAAACATACAATTACTAAACAGAAGTATATATTTTATTTTTGTAGAAAAGTCTGCATACACCTTCCAAATACTTTTTACAACACAGATAAAAAAAAAATAAGTAAACAAGACAAGACAAACAATATTGATCATTCTCTATTACATCATAACACTAGGTCAGAGAGCTCGCCACTTACTACCAAAACCCCCCCAGAGAAACAGAAAAAAAAGGAATAAGCTCTGAGCCAAAAATACATCCAAGTGATTAAACAGTAATAATTATACCTAAAACCCCGGCCAATCAAAGTATCCGTATTAAGGATCATCTATGCGTGTTAGATCCCTTAAATCTCAATTTAGAACGTATTAGTCCTTTCTAAAAGAGTGATATATAGTTCCAATATTCTATGATTTGAGATTAAATTCGTAGAATATACACATTTTTCCATCTCTAACTGGTATAGCACCTGAGATTTAAGTTGGTCCTTAGTGGGAACCTCTATACGTCTCCAATGTCTAGCAATTAGGATCTTAGCTGCCAATAAACAATGAATAAGAACCATATCAGTTTCTTGGTTCGTATCTGGGCCTATTATATGCAAAATAGCTAACTCTGCCTTTTGTTCAAATGATTTGTCCGCTAACACATAGACAAAGCTTAAAAGTCACATTCCAAAAGGATCTAATTCTGGGGCAAGACCACCAAATATGTATAAATGAACCATCTGGCTGAAAACAGCACCAACAATTAGGCGGGTTTGTCTGTGAAATTTTTGCTAATTGTAAAGGGACCATATACCATCTGTATGCAATTTTAATAAAAGTTTCAGAATATTCAGATAATGGATATATTTTTTTGTCCTCAAAAAAGAATTACACCACAAATCCAGTGGTATATTTATTGCTAATTCAGTTTCCCATTTTATTAATGCCTTGGGAGTATCCTGAACCCCCTTCAATCTTATCAATTCTCTAGCAATCAACGTCACATTTTTAACTTCATATCCTGTAAATATTTTTGTAACTAGGCCCCCATCTCTGCTGTCCAGGGATATCAAGTTTTCTTTAAGGAAACTTTTAATATGGAGAAAGTTAAACACTTCTCTAGAAGGAAGATCTAGTAACATTTTTAACTCTTCAAAGCTTTTCAATTGTTGTCTATTATAAAGATCTGATATTATATAAGGAGAATTTCTATACTAGTTTTTTCAATTTATATCTGACAAAATTTGTTCTAAAGATTCAATATGAATTTTTTCTAGGATATTATTATTAATATTCAATTTTTTCTTGATCATTTCCCATTCTTTTAAGATTTGAAGAAGAATCAGGGAGGCTTTTGATGGTAAGTTGCAGAGTGAATAATTATTACTTTTGTCGCCCCATAAAAGAGATTCTAAGTTTTTTACTCCGGCTCTATAAGATTCAATTTTATACCATACTTTATTTGCAATTTACTAGCATTGTTGTAGAATTATTAGGCCTCTATAAATCTGTAAGGCCCCTTTAAATCCTCTTGCTATACCTCTAAGAGGCCCCCATAGTTTTACAAGAAAGCTTTGTCTATAGAACATAGAATTTGCATGGCAGCAAGAAATAGCTTTGATAAAATGTGTATTTACTGAAAGCCTTGAAACCTAACCTTGAGAAACTAACCGTGCCAGCTACACTCTAAATGGATAGCTGCCAAAAGGCCCCTCCCGTCGAGTGAGCTCCTCATGTTAGCAAAATGGTGCTAAAACCTGGAGGAGATGATCATGACGAGGATAGTGACTTAAGATGGTACACCCCATAGGGAGGGCATTTTACTAACATCTTAGCACCTAAGCCAATTAACAATGTCTATTTGTCTATATCTTGATTTTCTTCAATGATGTAATAATGCCTTTAAAAGGGTCTGCGCACCCATTTTCTGTCAGAAGCCATTAAACTTCTCCGAAGTTCTTTCATTAACCTGAACTTTGTGTCTCAGTGTGAATTTACTTCTGCGTGCACGCAACTTTATTATCATTAATTTGGACAGGAACAGATAGTCATTCAAACTAATTGGTTTGCAGTAAATTATCTACAACAGCTGGCGCCATAACGTGGGGCTCTGGGCTATGTCCTGCCTGGGCAGCTGTCCAAGAAGATGCTGGGGGGGTGAATCCTGGGGGAAGGAAAAGAGCCTGATCACCTCTGAGTACACGGTAGAGATTGCTGCAGCACCTAGCCGGTATGTTCCTGCCCCTGTGATTGACCTATCCCAGTGTCTGTGACTGCTGCCGAGAGGACATCAAAGTCAGGTAATAACTTGCCCAGAGTCTTTGTATTGTTAATGATACCTAGTTTACCTGCATGTTGACTATCTGTTGCCTGGGTGTGTTTTTGTATTGGTTTGTGTTTAACTTAGTACCCGGGGAGTGTAAGTGCCTGTTTAACTCCTTTTAGGTACCACGTGGCTGTGGTAGTAAGGAAAAAGGGGGGTGGACCTGTGGAAGTTTTCCTGGGGGTCTTCTATTGCCTGTTTAACTCTTTTAGGAGCCACGTAGCTGTGGCTGTAAGGAAAAAGAGTAGGGGGAATTTGTGGAGGGGTGTAGACTCACTGCTTCCTGGGGGTTCCCCATAGTGTTGCTTTGACTGCTTAGCTAGCCTCATCGGACACTTCTTCTTGGTAAAATTCCAGCCTCGAGCGCTGAGGCAGGTAAGATTCCAATTCTTTAGGCTATACAGGATTCGGGTTGGAAGCTGTTGCTGTTTCCTGTGGCTGCTGGTAGTGAGACTTGCGTGTGGGTCCGCAACAGGGACACTACGAGGTTGAGGGAGGTGGCTTTTGGCCACACGAGTAAAGGCAAGGGATAAAACTGTTGAACTTATTTGAACTGTGATGCATGCACTGTATTTACACTGAAATGTTATTGTCGTAATTGTCTGTCACACAGATTCCTGTGTTTACTTTTATCTTACTCACTGTACTACTTACACTTTCCCCTCCTAGTTCTCTTTCTCTGTTGAGAGAAGTGATTGGTCACACACTTCTCGCCACGCTCCAATCCGCGGCTACCACGGGTAGGCGGAATCAGTGACTAGTCTACGTTTTGGGAAGACGTACTTAAAGAGCTTGCTCTTAAAGTAGCAGTCGAGCACGGTAGACGTTCTGTTCCTTTCTCTCTCTATATCTGGGGCACCTTGTATAGGGAATATGGGACAGAAACTGGGAAAACCCGATAAGGGTTGGCTAGCACGAGACTTGGTAGAAGATAGGGAAGGTGAAGAGATGGTTAAGAAGGTTGATAAGATTGCTAAAGTATGTGGCATCACGGTACCCCCGTGTGGTAGATTGCAGCCAGAAAGCTGGCGTAAGATACTGACAGAGAAGAAAGGCAAGTTAATGGACAATGATTTAGTCCGCACAGCGGAAGCCTGGTACAGAGTAGCCAAAGCCATCCAGCAAGAGGGATGGATTGAACAAGAGGTTGATTACAAGGGTGTGAAAATGTTTGTGTATCATAAGAATTTTGTCGCTGGAAATTCTTCCCAGCACGCGCCTAGTTATGGCGCACATGAGGTGGCCACCCCTTTCCCTGTCACTACCCCTGTTTGCCCTGTCCTGAATGCTGATGCATCCCTATTCTCCCCCCCCCCATCAGTCCTACAGATCTCGTCACCCTCATCCTCTCTCTGCAGCTCCCTGCACCTCCAGTCCGTTTCTCCCGTCAAAGATTTCTGGTCTCCAAACCTATAAGTCTCTGTCCTTCTGT